AGTAAAATATTTTTTTTTGACTACTATTTTAATGTTAAAATATTTTTAAGTATCAAATTCTGTTCAGTTTTGTACGCTCTTTCGAATGAGATGTCGTTCGAAAAAATCGAACGAAAACTGACGATTTCATACATAAAAAGCTGATATTCGGGTATTTTAGGCTGTACAAATAAAACTTACCAATTTTCTCATTTAAGGTCTATGGGCAAAAACGGAACATACCAGAAGAATCAGCTCGTCGAGCTCTACAAACTTGTACATATCCCATTTAAAACTGAGACTCACACTTGGAGATGTTCCCTCGTGAGTTATGAATCTTTTAATTTTACTCAAACATAGAGAAAACCTGTATAAGGTGAAGTAATCCATATTGTCCATCATGAAGAGAGTTGTTTTTGTCAGTTATAGGACAAAACCTTCATACTATTTAGAAAACAGCACATAGGACATTTGATGCTTCTTTGACTGTTAGCGATCCCATATAACTCGTATTCGTATTAGTAAAGTACGTTAAACTAAAGTAAAAATATAGTTCTTCTTATGTGTCACCATGAAGTTACGCTAGTTCATCCGCTACCGAAATATAAGCAAAAGTCAGAATGAAAGATTAATTATAACTCTAATGTAAAGCTATCACTTTTTTTTGCTGTGTAGCAATGCTAGATAAATCTTTTAGCTGCTATTCTAGCTAGGATCGGGTATGTCTCGACTGATGAAAGTTGCGAAGTTTCTTCTCATATAACATACATATTTATTGTTACAATTTAACTGCTATGACCTTTTGATTTTTAAAATTTTATACTTCTCAATTTTTTCAAAAGCCTCTGAAACTTCTGTAATTATCATGTTGTGAAATACCTGCATTTTTATTTTTAGTATCTGTCTGATATAGAGTGATCAGTCATCAGTTTTGGAGATAAACATTCTCGTGACAACAACGGCACAGAAGACGAATCGAATAAGTGATTAATCAAGTATATCGCACTTGTGCACAAAATAAGTCATTGTCAGGAAGCCCGCTCAGTCCAGATCTTGAATATTTGCTTAAAAATAAATTTCTAATAAGTTAGTGCTCAAAAGAGTGCTCAATGCAAAACAAAGTCTAATGCGGCTTAATATAAAAAGATATTATTACGTAGTACTGACGATGGTCAAATGTTCCGGCGGCTAACGACTGATGTTGAATGTGTTGTTTAATATTAAAATGCTAGCATAAAGCCACATTGGCCAGCCACTTTCTTACAGGTATCGTTGCAAGAAGAATCTAGGGCGGCACTCTGTCGATCGTCTTTTTAAAATTGAACTGATACTTAGAAAAAAAGTTATATTTATTTAGATACGCGACGATCTGATCCTAAACAAAGCGCTCCAGAATTTTACTTATTATTGACAGTAGGGATAGCCCTATAATTATTGACTAAAGTGTTGAGTTTTTTAATTGGAACAACATCATCAGGCATCTTCATTTAGAGAAATAAACGCAATATGAGACACAAATACGAAGCAAATGATGAATTGAATTAGAAGCTCAATTTCACACTCTCTCGAAAAGCGAACGCTTACTCCTTCGGAGTGGTAAGTCCTTCTGAGAACACGAATATCTTTGAAAATTTGCTATGTACGTGTGGTAATTCCGAAAACGAATTGAATCATAGATAATCAACCACGCTGAATCTCGTGGCAACATTTATTTTTCAAGTAAGATCCAAAAACATAGTGAAAGCCTGTAGATTCAGCGTGGTTGATTATCTATGTTTCCATTCGTTTCGAGTTATATGGGACCGTTAACAGTCAAAAAAGCATCAAATGTCCTATGTGCTGTTTTCTAAATAGTATGCAGGTTTTGTCCTATAACTGACAAAAATAACTCTCTTCATGATGGACAACGTGGCTTTATATTTACATATTTAAATTCAATATCACAGGACAAAATGCACAACAAATGATAATCTTGATGACTTCCTGCTTCAGTCAATGTCTATGGAACACGATCAAACTGACCGGAAACTGTTTGTTTGTCCTTGTTTCTATGTTTCTCTCTTGGGGAAAGGTCTCATAAGGTCAGTTCAGATAGTATGCCGAGTTCCAGTGATCAGATACATTGGCATAGGAGCTGAAGATGGATGATTACTATATTTAAATGTTTGACAACACGGACATGTTATTATAGAGGTCTTTCCGCATGTGGGCCAATTCTCAAGCAAAAACGACCCAATTTTTTTGGCTATTTATCTAGACTCAGCTCCACGTACATCTGGATGTACTGAATCTAGATAAATAAACCAAAACACTGGGGCGTTTTTGCTTGGGAATATATTCGTGTAAAAATAAGTTTCCATTCCCTGCTAACTCCCATATATATATCCCATATATATATATATATGTATATGTCTGTAGATTCCTAGCATATTAGATTTTTCTGTTTTTCCTGATTGTATGATCTTATTCCTGCTTTATTTGAAACAAAAAAACATCAGACAAATTTTGAGGTTATCGTTTCGAAAATCCTAAAACATCATTTATAATTCCAGAATCAAATTATAGTTAAAGAATGCTAACTATCAGCTCATACGTTACACATAAAAACTAGGAGTACTTCTAGATATCAAGAACATGTTAGCTAGTGACGCATGATATTGTGACATAATTCTCACCAAATGTGGTTTAAATTTAAACAGGTTTGACCAGATGTTTCATGAGATAACTTATATGCGTATCATTTCTTTTTTTTGAAAACGTCAGTCTTGTTTTGGAACACAGAGTAGGCATTTTTCAAATAGCAGGCGAACCTCCGAATCTTTTGCTCATAAATTACTTTTTCCTCAATAATTATCATTGCTTAGTCATTTACGATGGTTTTAAAGAAAAAATAAACGTTTTCAGAAAGAATTGATCTTGCTGATTCATCGGAAAAGGTTTTCATGAATTTTTTTTAATCCAAAACTTGTCTTGTGTTACATATGATTCGATGTAGCTTGACGCGCCGATTCCGAATATGACGTGATGTTTTCTTAAAAGTGTTTTTGGTCCGAGGAAAATGGTTTTCACCTGAAAACCAAGGGTTTTTGGAAAATGTATCAGTCAACTTAGGTGAATATGTGCATTTTCGTGCATTTGATATGGATAGAGGAAATGACGACAAGCATTTTGGTATAATTTTGAGTCTGTTTCGAGGTTGAGAAACCATACGAATCTACTTACATACTAAGTACCTTTTCGGAAACGGTATCAGTTCGTAAAATAATTTTTTTCTCGTAAATCATAGGATCTAACTAAAATGTTTTTATTCGTAGATAGCTTAAAGTGTCTAGATTTAGAATATGTAGTGTATGTGTGTACACAGGCTCCTTTTTGCATATATTTTTTTTCCAAAAATTCAATACTTGGAGTAAAATTTTTTTTGTCATTAGGTAGATGGAAATGCCACATATTGATAAAATACTTAAATAAACAATGACTTAACAACTCGAAATAATAATGTTGTAATAGAGAATCAGAGAAAACTGAAATGTAGCATCATATGACAGACAAGACTGTTTAGGTAGAAGTGTAGGTTGCTTAATACCTGATGTGTTTTTTATTTCTTCTTTCTCAGCTTATTGTTAAGACGTTGGTTATATATTTCCTCTAAAAAAATATCCAATTTCGACTAGTCCAATCTTAAGTCAACAACGATAAACTTAGAATTCCCTATATTATGCTTCACACTGACGTTCAACTGGCCTAATTTAAATCTTCCTAAACAATATCTAGGAAAAATGGAATAGTATAACTCTGATAAAACTTGATATTAAACTTCATTTTAATATTTGTCCTCACCCTCACACATCTATACACAAACATATATAGCTACAGATTTTGTCTCTGTTATGAATGAAAAAGACGAATTCAGAATTTGTTTTAGAAGCAAAATAATGTTTTCTCAATGGCTTACCGCAGACCTTGATATAATAGACAGCGAATCACTCTTTCTGTTATGTTGCTTAAAAAACAGGAAAAAAGTATAACACAACCTGGGACGCTACCACAATGATACACACAATATAATTCAACTTTTGCTTCATTTTCGTACTGATAACGAAAAGAAGGGTGAAAAAACGCAAGCTGGTGGTAGATTTTAAATTTAATTTTTCATACTCAAAATTAAAGATTTATTTATGCAGATGGAGATATTTGATCATCATGTGCATTGTAGGTTAAATAATAGTTTTGAGCTTTTCTCGGTTAAAATAAAACTTGTTTCTAGTAAGACGATAAAATAAACTGCTTTGACTTTGAGAGGAGAGCTGGGCTAGAAGTTTTGCAAGTCACAAGTCAAGTCAATCCTCGAAATTTTTTTCTGCAAGTCAAGTCAAATCTGGCTAAAATTAGGCAGAACATAAAATTTGCTAGCACCTTTTTGGGTAAGAAAGTTTTTATAGTCTCAGAAACTTTCTTTCATGGTAGAAAAAGTCTGATGTAAACGAGAAATGATTTGACTTGAAAAAACTTTCTCAAATCAAGTCATACCTCAAAAAATGTTCGACCCTGACTTGACTTACCCAGCTCTGTTTGAGAGAGTAAAAGAGTCATGTACTTGTCCTTGATCTTTTCTCATTTCACTGGTACACAAAAACATTTGCTAAGCTGTGTTGTACATATAGATCACATGAAAACTGTAAGATTATGATCGTAGTATTCTGATTTGATCATTTTTGATACCAAGATTAATATGTAATTGCCATGGTAAAGGTGCATAATCAATTTGATCAATTACATATTGTTTATTTGTACGATTATTCCATAAACGAATTTGTTTTTTATCACAATCAATTGTTAATATTAGTTCATCATGTGTTTTTATATCATTATCATAGTTTCTATAATTGTATTCTCCACGACCATTGAGATAAACCATATTTTTATTATTTTCCCATATTGTCCATCCATATGATGATTGTGACATATGAGAACTACCATATGGACGTGTTTTAGATGAAATAATTCCAATAAACATCCATGATCCATATTCACCATCAAAAATTTGATCTATTTTAAGATGAATTTTATGCGTGCCACTGGAATACAATCGTTGTCCACGTACTTCAGTGAATTCAGATTTTGTTGAGATATATTTAGCCACTCGACCATCATCTGTCAACAAAACATTACCATTTGGTTCAATATCTTCGAATTTATCAGTCGATAAAACATCTATACAAAACGTATATAATTTCAACATAATATTGACAGTGAAACTTAAAGTTATACATACTCTGAGGATACTGACAAATTTTTTCCTCGTCGGACCAGATTAAACCATTTGGACAATTCAATAAATATGGATAACTATTTGAGCATATGTAGAATGTAGTTTCATCGGTTGGATTCGAAAACAGACCATCTGTTGGACAAATTAAACCTTGTGTATAAAAACAATTAAGAAGCACAATGCTAATTTCTAGTAACAGTAATGAATGCATTCTACTTTTCTGTTGGCGGAGATATTTTAGATTGGAAGTAGAACGCCAAATTCAAGTTGAAAGACAAATTATAAATGCTGTTTTGTTTTATATTCTTACATGTATTTCACTCGTGGGAAAGTGTCATCTGCACAATTGTTCGATTTAGCTTTTGCATATTTTGTATTGCATATTTAACTTTTATACATAGTATATTTCAAAAACATTAGTACAAATGGTTTTCGTTCTTTGTTTCTGATAGAACTCATACAAAATTTTCCGTTTGTTATCTAGGATACGGCATAAGAAAGCATCTGATTCTGTTCTAACCAAGTATGATTCATCGGCATCGGTTAAACTGCACTCTGTACTATCGCGAACTTCAATAGTTGAAGTTTTTTTCTGGTTTCTGTTCACATTGATTATATTCCTAAAGTTTTTGTAAATTCATAAGTGCTTTCTATTTAGCTGATCAGAATTATTTAAGTGTTGTGGAGGCAGTAAAGTACAGTTTTCTCTGAAAAAACGGATTACACGAATTAATTAATAGCAATATGCTTCGATCAATGGGCTATTTGATGATATAAAATTTTTTGTTCGAAATCATTCATCATTAGGACAAGTGTAGAAGTCAAAAATACCCCCTTATTAGTGACCCGTACTAAAAAATTCATTTATCTGGGTCAAGAAGACAGCTTATAAAAATGACAACTACATATTTGCAACCTAGACACTTTCAGCTATATTTTTGCAAAAATGTTGAGGTATTTTGCAATGTACTCGGTCTAGAATCACTTGTATTAAAAAATAAGGTAATATTCGAACGGAATATAATTAAATCATTTAATTATGTTCCGTCCGATATTTACATTTTTTTTTATAAATTATATCGATTATATCTCATCCTTTATCAATCAAAAACTTTATACAATGAGTAACCATTGATTACACGTATGATATAAAGAGTATATGATATTTTCCTTACCGATATACTGTATTATGCATCTAAACGCGAAAAGTATGGAAGTGAGCATGAGATGCAAAGAAAAGTTGAGATCTTAAACAACCATTCATTGAGGCTAATAAGAGTGTTTTTTACTTATTATACTAAAGAACACCTAATACAACTCCACGGACGGTTTTCCGGGCACCTATACGATTTATTTTTTGAAAACTTTTCCTATGAAAAATTCATCGATCCATCACTGGTTTGTTGTTCACTCAAAGTTAATTCTTCATTTCAGCTAAATTCTTTCGTGCTAATAGCAATATAGTTTACCCATTTTTTCTCTTTTGCGTCTTATCTTTTCTTTATGATACGTAGCTTTTCTGTTTGTTCTTTAGTGATCATGCAACTACGACTAGGACTGTAAAAGTTCTTGTTGCGTTAATTTAACGCTAACTGAAAATACAATTACGGTTAAAATAACGGTAACGGTAGCCGCAGCGTGGATATTTCTGCCATACTTAAAAAATAGCTACCACACAGTTAACTAACTTATCCGTTAGCGTTAAACAACGGTAACTAAAAAGTCAGTTACTAGTATGGCAGAAATATCCACGCGGCGGCTAAAAACGGCTTCCAAGATCGTCAGTTCTCCAATAAAACTATTGAAACTTTCATAAATGACATGGTTTCGATTGGCACACACGTGCCAGTCTACTAAACTAGTCAAAATCATTTAACTTTTTTGTAACTGTGGTTTTTAAGGTCTCAAGAGACCTCAGTATCTATCTACAGCCAGCTTGATAAATCTTTTTTGTTTTCATCAACGAAATTAGACTATATAACTATGTCATTTATGAAAGTTTCAACAGTTTTAGTGGAAAACTAACGATTTTGGAAGCCATTTTTAGCCGCTGCGTGAATATTTCTGCCATACTTAAAAAATAGTTACCACACAGTTAACTAACTGATAGTTACCGTTATTTCAACGATAACTGGAAACGCAGTTATCGTTAAAGTAACTGTAACTGTCTTTTCAGTTAGCGTTAATCAACGGTAACTGAAAACACAGTTACCGGCGGTTTAATGCTAGCTGAAAAGACACTAATCGTTACTTTAACGGCAGCTGTTTTTCTAATTACTGTTGTCGATAACGGCCGAAGAAGTAACGGGAACCTTTACAGTCCTAACTATGACGTCCACAACATAATCCTGTATATTCCTGCCAATTAAATAATGGTTGCCTATCAACTACCCCATCACAGTTATGTAGAAGAAAAGCCCTAAATGTTCATCGTCACCTCATAGCTACAGAAAGAAAAACGAAAAATGAATTTAGGGCTTTTCTTGTAAACTTTATAACTTTGCAAAGAAAGGTCGTGTAGAGCTGGGAGATGCCTCGTTTTAATCAGAAATGTATGGACTACAATTACGCCCCATTAAGAACAAACAGTAAGCTTTTGGTTGCTCATCAGAGTTTCTAAAAAACTGGTTTTTCAGAAAACCGATCTTTGAAGGCCTAGCAGCAGCATTCATGATGATATTCGGAATCAGCATCATCGACTACCTATAGTCCACTCGATTTCGTTGAAAAAGCGATTTATCAGTTGGGGTACTTCCCTCGTGAGCTTCATCGTTCTGTATCCCCATCCGGTTTCCTTTTCGTTTTTTTAGATTATCGAAACGTGAACCGGATATTATAGATAACTCTGTTGCTATTTATTCGATGAAAATTAAACACAAATTAACGTCATCGTGTATAAAGGATATTTTAGTTTTATTATCACATATGAAAGTTTCAAATATTCCAAAAACTGTATATCGTCTACAATAAATAATTCAATCTAAGCAACAACAACAAAAAGAGCAACAATCACCATCCATTTTATCAATGCCAGCACCATCAAAATTGCTTGAGCAACTTTACTTATGTCCAACATGTAAAAAAATATCCACATCTTCTCAAAAATGTTCTAATTTATGTACACCCAAAAAAAATCAAGCGGAGTGTGGATTAACAAAACCAACAATTTTTCTTCGATTTGATATTCAAACAAATTCAACAAATTTTGTCACGTGACGTGAACAAGATATTACATTTTTTTCATCCCCACCGGAAAATACAACAGTACCGATGAAAGATATAACTGATGGACGATGGTATTTACATACAGCGAATAAAATTCAAACCGAAAATAATGGGGATACATTTTTATCATTGCTTATGAATGTGGATGGTATTTCAATTCGAAATAAAACTGACTCTAGCATATGGACATTTACCATGATCATTATGGAAATTACTCGAAATAAGCGTTTTCGAATTGAAAATGTTGTTCTCGGTGGTGTTGCATTATGTTATCGAAAACCAACAAAATTATTGATGTCTGTTATGTTGGATAATATTAACAAACAATTGAAATTGATTCAAAATTTGAATGTTTATTATCAGCTTAAATCTAATGAAAATAAGAATGATCTACTCCGTATTTATTTATTGTCGTCGTGTTCAGACAAACCTGCAACGGCCATTATACAAGGAATTCCAGATCCTTCCTCATTCTTCGAATGTTCGATATATGAGATTCGTGGTAAGAAATCAATATGTATTATAGTTATCTCCAATTTTATCTATTGTGCTGGCAAAAAGGCTTTTTCGTTGTGCTGATGAGTAATTGTGCTTCTACTTTTTTTATTTCTTGTATTTTTAGGCACATCAACAAAAGCAAATCCAAATGCGAAAGACTCCAAAAGCGAACGCAACAGTCCGTACCTTTTCAACAGCACAATTGTCTGAAATGCCATCTCAACGCTGCGAAGAAAATTATCAAAAATATTATTCTCTGTATCAGAAATTACTAAATAATAATGAATTATCAACAGATGAAATACGTGATCAAACGTTTGGTTATATAGATCGTTGTTCATTTTTACAACTGAATTATTTTAGTTATTGTGCTGGTTTTTTAATTGATACCCTGCATACAATTTATCATGGAGTATGGGTAAGTGGAATACAATTTATGTTTTATTTTCTCCGTTTTTATCAAAACGTACACACACAGACACACATCGGCAACTACAGATGCAGTATCGTAAACTGACGTGTGTTATTTTTCATTCGAAATTGGCTTCATCGGTTTTCGCTGTTTAGTTCTAGAAACGCCTATTGAAATTATTGTTTGATCCCGAGTACAAACGCAATGGTTGGTTTCTGTATTCAAAAACAAACGTAATTGAATTATTGATGAAAATTTTTCGTGGTAAACAAACAACTGGCGAGAAAAAAACAGGCGAGCTCACGCAAGAATTTTCCTCGCGAGGAAAAAACCAGAGAGATCACACAGGAATTTTCTGCGCGAGAAAAAATCCTGCGTGATCTCGCCGAATTCTGAAAATTTTTTTTCAGTGGGAAGCCAAGTTTTACGCATGGTGAGATTCGCCAGATGCCTCTCTTCAGAAGTATAACTTTTTTTTAAAAAGTTTTGTTTCCTCGCTGAGATACGTCGATGTTAGTGGGGAGCCTGTAAAAACGGCCAAGTCCAAGCAAGCTTCACAGTTGCTGCAGCTGACATCAGCACTTCTCAAAGTCGTGTAGACCAACACGCTGAGATATGTGGATTTGCAGAATTTAAATAAATCGGCCATATCGTTCATTATGATTCTGTCTTTGAAATTCAGTGGTTCCGCCGGATCATTTTCATCCACTTCAATATCAGAGAATTCTTTTGCACTTGAGCTTTCAGCACCGGGGTTGAGCTTTCAGCGATCGGGGTTTCTAATCATCAGTACAGGAGTGAGAGCGGCGACGATCGAGCAGGCGCATAATAAGCTTAATGAAAATATGGAAAAGCTTAATAAGTAATCAAAAAGAATTCGAGGATTCGAGAATTCCGGGATTCCCGGATTCCATGGTTCGAGACATCGAGATTGAGAAATTCAGGATTCCTCGATTCGAGTATTCCAAGAATCGAGTTCAAGAAATATTCCTTTAAAGTGTTAAGATAGGTGAAAAGCATGATATCTGCCTAGTATATCGACAATTGTCCTGTATAGCAGAGCCCTGCAGATTGCC